TCCCAGTCCCTCCCAGTCCCCTCCCAGTCCAAACCAGTCACCCACCCGAGCCTCCAGGAAGGTGAGGCCGTCCCGGTGACCGGCCAGCACCAGGGCCGGGCCCTCGGGGAGGCAGCGCCGGTCCCAGCCCCGGCAGACGCCGTCGTCGCCCCCCGACAGCAGCAGGAGCCCCCCGGGGTCGCCCAGGGCCAGCGCGTTGACGTCATCCTCGTGGGCGGGGAGCTGCGGGGAGAGGAAAAAACGGGACTGGTTTGGACTGGTTTGGACTGGGAGGGGGGAAAATGGTGAAAAAACGGCGAAAAAAGGGTTAAAAATGGCGGAGAAATGGGGAAGAAAGGGTTAAAAATGGCGGAGAAACGGCAAAAAAAAAGTTTAAGATGGCGGAGAAATGGGGGAAATCCGGACTGGTTTGTACTGGTTTGTACTGGGAGGGGACTGGGAAGGGGGAAAATGGTGAAAAAACGGTGAAAAAAGGGTTAAAAATGGCGGAGTAACGGGGAAAAAACGGGGGGAAAAAGGGGTTTGGGGTTACTGGTTTGTACTGGTTTGGACTGGTTTATACTGGGATGGACTGGGAGGGGACTGGGAAGGGACTGGGAGGTGAAAAAATGGTGGAAAAAAGTGAAAAAACGGCGAAAAAAACCGGTTAAAAATGGCGGAGAAATGGGGGGGGAAATGGGGGTTTGGGGTTACTGGTTTGTACTGGTTTATACTGGGAGGGGACTGGGAGGGACTGGGAGGGGGAAAAATGGTGAAAAAACGGCAAAAAAAGGTTAAAAATGGCGGAAAAACGGGGGAAAAAATGGTGGTACTGGTCCATACTGGTCCAGACTGGTCCATACTGGTCCATACTGGTTTATACTGGTTTATACTGGTTTATACTGGTTTATACTGGTTTATACTGGTGCCCACTCACCCTCAGCACTCTCCTCTGCGCCTCGCGGTCGTAGACGTAGACGCAGCCGTCGTTGGCCCCGCCCATCACTTCCCGCCCGTCCGGCCCCACGGCCAATGAGAAGACGGCGAAGCGGCGCTCTTCCGGTCTGGGGGGGAGGAGCCAATCAGGGGGCGGGACACGCCAAAGATGGCGGCCGAGGGGTTTAGGCCACGCCCACTTGGCCATAGAAAAGGCATTGAGGTGTTTAGGCCACGCCCACTTCGCAAAGATGGCGCCCGAGCGGTTTAGGCCACGCCCACTTTGCCATAGAGGGCCGTGGGTCGGTTTAGGCCACGCCCATCGAGGTTTTGGCCACGCCCATCGTAGAGGCCACGCCCCCCAAAAATGCAAATTAGATGGCACGGAATCCCCCCAAAGGGGAATTAACGAGATCTCCAAACCGGAAATCAAGGCCCGACCCGGAAATGGCACAGCTCCCAAACCGGAAGTCCCGCCCCAACCCGGAAATGCGGCAGATGCAAGCAGGAAATCCATCCAGAACCCGGAAATGCCAACACTCCAGACAGGAAATGCCACATCTCCAAGCCGGAAATGCAGGCCGGACCCGGAAATACCACACCGCCAAACCGGAAGTCCCCCCAAACCGGAAAAGCCACACCTCCAAACCGGAAGTTCTCCCAAACCGGAATTACCCGACCTCCAAACCGGAAATCAAGCCCCAACCCGGAAATGCCACACCTCCAAACAGGAAATGCCACATCTCCAAACCGGAAGTCCCGCTCCAAACCGGAAACGCCACAACTCCAACCCGGAAGTCCCGCCCCAAACCGGAAATGCCACATCTCCCAACCGGAATCCCCTTCCCCCTACACTAAAACCCACGACCCGAAACAGGAAATGCCATCCCGAAAACCGGAAGGCCCTGCCCCAAACCCGGAAGTCCCGCCCCAAACCCGGAAGTCCCGCCCCAAACCCGGAAGTCCCGCCCCCAAACCGGAAGTCCCGCCCCCACCTGAAGTCCAGGGCCGTGTGGACGTCGCCCTCCCCGTGCAGGTCAAAGGCGTGGACTGGGAAAGGGGCGGGGCCACCTCAGGCCACGCCCCCTTCGCTCCCGGTGATTT